TTGGATTTGAGACTTTAGTCTTTGCAACTTTACAGATCTTCTTTATGCACCAAGAGCTTGTAACACTCCAAAGAGAAAAGAAAAATTAAAAATCGCATCATATGACCCCTTTAACTAAATTTAATCTTCTGATAATCAATTTGGCATATTAAAATTGTATAGATAAATGTTTAATAATATAATACTAATTATATTAATATTACTTGTATAATAAACTATATTTTTATTATTAATTTGTAATTAAATTAAAATATAATCTCTCTCTCATATATATATATATATATATATATATATATATAAATAACAAATTTTGCTCTATAACATAAATTAGATTATTGTATAGTATATATTATATTAATATATTTATACAAATGTTGACTATATTAGCATTCATTATTTTAATAAATATAAATAAAATATATTTAGCATCTCTCTCTGTGAGTCATGTTGCATTTCTAACCCAGGATAAACTAATGGGAAACATGGAACAATATGAATCAGAATTACATTAAACCAGGGTTAAATGCTCAGTAATGTACCAGTAATTGTCACTGAATTAATTTTAGGAGCAACATCTGAGACATAATACAATTCATACATTTCTAATATAACTAAGATCCCCATTAAATAACCAGAGACATGAAAGAGCAAACTCTGCACAATAAAACATCTGAGCAATGATCACAACTGCATATGAATCCTGTTTTCTATCAGCATTTATAGGTCTCTGTTTTGGGCTCTCGTCTGACCTTTGACTTCAGTGAAATGAGAGCAGAGTGAACGCGAGTAAGTACAGGGAGAAAGACCTTTAGATCGAGTGCTCTTATTCACGAATAAGAGCTCTGCTCTTTAAACACGACAATGTGAAGCCCTCCTTTGCGGGAAAGCATTTGCTTGTCCATTAAAAGTTGGCAAAAACCGGAAAAGTTATCTGTCATCCTGTTGTATTGTGTTTCTAACAGAGCAAAGCATCACTCCTGCTGTTTCTGAGCATCGATTCAACACACAATACCCAAGAAAAACAGCCTGACCCGAGTCTGAAATGCACAGAACTGAACGGGAGGCGTTTCAGAGCTAATAGATCTGCTTTAGTGTCTCTCCGAGAGACAGGACGGCCAATTAATGTGCCGAAAACTCTGTCGTATAGCTGCAGGGATGGAAGATCTCAGCGTGGGATCGCTTCACTTCCCGTGCCAGACGGTTCCTGGCAGTGACACGACTCTGAACTGGTGTACATTCAGGATGAATGCTGATTAAAACACGTCTCACTGATCTGAGCAAAGTTACTGTCGTCCATTTCACTTCATTCAGGGTGACTCCCTAGTTCTCTTCCTCTCTTTGATTGTGAATAAAAGCCATAAAGACAAAGAACAGGAAGGAAGGAATAAGAGAAAGTGCGGTTTTCATTATAGGCTTCAAAATAAACCCAAGCCCTTGACTTCGCAGAGCTCTGAACTCTCTGAATTGCAATTACAGTGTTGCAACAGCGATCTTCATTTCAAAAGAAAAAGCTGGCAGAGCTCCGTGTGTCTCTGGTTGAAAGTTGAGAAATCGAGTGAAACCAGAGGAAAAGAAAAGTGACCAAAAGAGCTCTTTAATATCTCAATCATATTGGCAAAATTAGTCCTGCTTCTCAAATGTTTATCCTTGGAAAATGAGCCCAATCTCATGTGCATCCTGTTAATAATGCCTCAAACTGATCAGATTTGCTATGATTTCTCAAATGATCTGAGATGCCCTCATGGAGTATCCCTTTACTATTACTATTTGCTTTAACAGAAACATCTGAAACAACATTGATAATTAAATTAAACATAACTGAGAATAGCAAATATATGTTTATGCTAGGGCTGCACGATTAATCGCATGCGATATTTAATGCGCATTTAATATCGCATGCGATTAATCGTGCAGCCCTAGTTTATGCCCAACATAATGAAAAATATGCATGGCAAAAACTGTACCAAAGAGACAATGATTTCCCCTTAAAATACTACAAATTGGCGCAGCTGTTCAGTGAATACACAGTATTGCAAGAGTCAAGCTTAATGTCATAAACCACAATGAATACACAGTGATTTCTCAACTTTCGTCTAGAAGCATGTCTTTGGAAATGCAGTTCAGCATTGCAAAGACAAAATCCCAAAGGAAAGCTGTTTTACTGAAATGTTGCTCTGTGTAAACTAGGCTCATTTTCAATGTGTTTTATTAATAAAATCCAGCACTATTTACCTGGTCCAACTTATGGGTTTTTAGAATAACGGTTCTCCATTTACAAGTTAATTACTACTCTAAATTACTGAGATCATCTTCACATTTCATTCTACAACACAAATTACATTTATACCTCAAATGTGAATTTTGACACTGTTGTGTGCTTTAAAATGTAAGTTGCTAAACAAGAAGTACAACTAGCGCAAGAAAGGATGGCTGTTTGATGAATGGGACAACCATAGACATCTTATGTAGCAACTTGTTAGCAAACACACAACCAGCATGCAGAACTGACCCACAAAAACAACTTAATTGCCATTAGCACAGTTTTTGACAGTATTTTTACACACACATGATCTGCATAATCCATTTAGTCCATATCTAAACATCATCCACCTTATTTTGAAAAGTGGAAGTAATCTACTTTCTGTGAAGTTGCGAGACTTCCTAATCAATAGCCGCTATAGGTAAATCACTAGAAGAAACATAGCTAAAACGATGCAAAAACCAATTTGCAATATCATGCTGCAGATGGTTTTTGTACAGCTAAAACAACAGAAAGCGAATGATAACGGAAGACTCACACAAAGCCACTAGAAGACAAGCCTGCAACCTTTAGCCAAAAAAGTGTAAAGGCTAATGCTAACGCTTCCACTTTGGCACTGCGTGGGTGTCACGAATCAGTCCACTGAAGGCGAGCGTAAGTGAAGAACCCAAGTGCAGTTTATTTACAGGTGATCCAAACATAATCCAAACAGACAAAGACTAGATACACAGACTTGACTTGACAAGGCATGAACAGACTTGACTAGAACAGACTTCACTTGGCATGGACAGGACTCACCGACAGCGGGTTACAACATCAATACACGACGAGAGACAATGGCGACATGATGGCTACCTATAGCAAACAATACAGGTCACATGACAATAACAAACCAATGGGAAACAAGACACATGACTAGGACTACCAATCAGAACATGACACATACACAAGGCAGAGATACATGAAACATGAACATGAAACAAAACCCAAACACCAAACCCCACATCACAGTGGGAAAGGAGACCAGAGGTCGTTTTTTTGAATGGATGTCAGTGCAGGAGAGGCTTCACTATGCTGAATAAACAGCTTGTTAGAGCAAACATATCATTTAATGAATCGACAGCCTATCTGCTAATCTTCAACATGTTTTACACTAGAGACCTGCGCGGGACGGATTTTTCAGTCCCGCGCCCGCCCGCTCCCGCAGAAATATATCTTATCTGGTCCCACTCCCACCCGCGACATTCATGTTTTGTCCCGCTCCCACCTGCAAAAGCCCGCATAAAAGTAATCTATATAGATTTTTTTTCAGTACATTGAAGAAATTTACATGAAATGTTTCAACAGATAAATAACAATTTATATGTTTTAGACACTCTATATTTAGATAATTTATATTTTGCGGGAGTCCCGCGAATCATTTTATTCTCCCGCATCCCGCACACACACGAGTCTCTTCCCACCCGCACCCGCACTCGCCCATCAAAAGTTGTCCCGCGCCGCACCCTGTTGCGTTGGGTCCCGCGGGTCCCGCGGTACTTCCGCGGTAGTGCAGGTCTCTATTTTACACTAAACAATAATTTTAGATTGAACTATTTTTAGAGTTTACCACGAAAAGAATGCTGTTTTATAAGAGAAGTCACTGACTTTTTGTGACAGGTGGGATTCAGTTTACGGCATTTCTCATTCATTCAAATGGTATCCGTAAACGCCGATTGAGTGTCGCAAAACTCTGACTGAAATTCAGTGATGTCAAGGCTGTAATGTGATTGGTTATTACGGCACACTTGATCCAAGTTAGCCGTTACACTTTCTCCCAATAGTAAGACAAACTCTGACTTGCATACGTTCAAATTACAAATGGCCGTGCCATTAAGGTAAGTGGGCTTACATTAAAAATAATGTGGATAACACCTGCACGATTCATTCAAAGTTTCCCAATGCGTGTGTGTGTGTTTATGGAGACAGATAAGCATTATGGAGTCATTGTGTGCTGAGCTGGAAGGTGGTAAGGCTCTTATGAAACAATGGCTTTTTGTTTTTGAATGATTTCCATCAATTCTGCCTCCGCGTTGAGCAGCACTATTCCCGCGAGGCCAGCGAGCGTTAACCGCTGACCGTCCGCTGTGACGCAGAGCTCTGGCTGTCAGTAATCGATCGGCGTGTACTTTTTACCCCGCTCAACCATTGTTGCTGTACCACACACACACACGCGCGAGCATACTTCCTAATTAAACCCAGGAGTGCGGAGCTCAGGCCGGTCAGCCTTTGTTCAACTTTCCTCATCAAGAGCTCTCTTAGATATGCAGAGCTGTGGCCATCTGCCTCAGACAGACGTATCCCACAATGCCACAGAGGAGGAAAGACGTCAAGCCTCCAGCAAGGGAAACCGCAGAGAGATATTTGATTGAAATCTGTGTGAGAAAACGACAGTCGTGCGCTGGGAGTATTCATTCGCTCATGATGTTCCGAGTGAAAGTGAATGCAAACTTTAAAACGTTTCAAAGAAAGTAATAGCCTAGCTATTTTAATTCAGAAAGGATGCATTACATTGTTTAAAAGTGACAGACATTTATAATGTTACAAAAGATTTCTATTTAATATAAATGCCATTCTTTTGGACTTTGTTCTTTTGCGATTCACATAACGAGTCGTTCAGACTGCTTTGCGAACCGATTATGACCATTTAATAGTTTGGAAGAAATTAATAGGCTACTTTTATTCAGCAATGATGTAGCCTATTAAATTGATATAATGTGACAACGAAGACATTTATAATGTTAGATAACATTTCTATTTCAAGTAAACAATGTTCTTTTGAACTTTCTATTCATCAAATAATCTTTCCACAAAAACATAAAGCCACACAACTGTGTTCAACATTGATAATAAGCAAAAATGTTTAAGTAGCAAATCAGTATATTAGAATGATTTCAGAAGGATCATGTGACACTGAAGACCGAAGTGATGCTGGAAATTCAGCTTTGCCATCACAGGAATAAATTACATTTAAAATATATATTCACATAGAAAAATCATTGACAGTCAGTTTAAAGGGGTCATATGACGTTGCTAAAAAAATAACATTATTCTGTGTATTTGGTGTAATGAAATGTGTTTATGCGGTTTAAGGTTCAAAAAACACATTATTTTCCACGTACTGTACATTATTGTTGCTCCTCTATGCCCCGCCTTTCTGAAACACGTCAATTTTTACAAAGCTCATCGGTCTGAAAAGCGAGGTGTGCTCTGATTGGCCAGCTATCCAGTGCGTTGTGATTGGCCGAATACCTCAAGCGTGTGACGGAAATGTTACGCCCCTTACCATATTGTGATGATGCCCTGTCAGGCCAGAGCGATGATTCAAAAACATGAAAACCCATTACAAACGAGGCATTTGTTGCATCCAGTGGGGACATAATTACGGATTATAATGACTTATACTGTCTTTTGACGCGTTGTGTTGCATCGTGCCACGTAAACATAAAACCATGTGACAAACAACAAGTGCTACTCTACACTGCTCAAAACTCGCGTTTGAATCATCAGTGGCAAATCCTTTAAATATGAAAACGTACTTACAGTCTGTGAGTCAGAACAGCCGGCATTGTAGTCTACTCTACCAGGATCAGGAAACAGTCCTCCATAAAATGTGCTGCACACATCTGAATATTTGGGTTGAACTGTTCTGGAACAATGTTGTAAATACAACTTAACCACTGATTTCTAGTTGTGTCCTCTTTTGGAAGGCCAAACAAAGTAGTTTCACTTTCGCAACAAAACACACAGCGTCTTCACAACATGGCGGCAGCGACGGCGGTGACAGCAACAATAAAGTTACGCCTTCTTTCTTTGCGTGAACATTTGGGCGGTGTTATGCAAATCTTCCCACACAGTGACGTAGACATGTGGGGGCGTGTTTAAACGAGGCATTTTAGGAAGACGTGGACGAGTCTTAACTTTTATAAAGAATATCTCTTTGGCTTTGAGACTTTAGTCTTTGCAACTTCAGGGATCTTATCTATTCACGAACAGCTTGCAACACTCCAAAGAGAAAGGAAAACTTGAAATTGCATCATATGACCCCTTTAAATTGTAATAATTTTTCACAATATTACTGTTTTTACTTTATTTTTGATCAAATAAATGCAGCTTTGGTGAGCAGAAGAGATTTGTTTTTCCCCTATAGTAGTCATAATTTCCCACCCTTCCAATTAAGTAAACCGTGAGATTAGAAAAATATATTTCTAATGTCTCAGTATTTGTTTAGAAATATCTGTTTCGTTTACTGTATACCATAAGCTGTTCAAACAAACAAAAAGATCAAATATTAACATTTCAGAATGGTAGCTTTGGGCACAAGAAGAAAGCTTTGTGAAAACGGTTCAATGAAATCTCAAAGGAAGCGGCCCAGTGTCGGTGTCAATTGCTCTTACACCGGGTTGTGTAGTTTCTTGACGTGTGAGATCGGCTGACCTTTGATCAACCTCTTTAGACAATGATCTCAGAGCTGGGATTCAGGAAAACACTATGACATCAGCACTGGTAACAATGAGCCTCAGGACACACACACACACACACACATCTAATCCGCTCATATAAATTTTAAATGGGAAAGCAAAGAACAATCCAAGCTTGTCATAGTTACCAAGCACACATATTCATGCAATATGAACTTGTGTGTAGTTCACAGAAGGGATTTCTACCAAAAGGGCAAATGTCCAAAGAAGAGGCAGTTTATAGGATAGAAAGATTATGAACCTTTGAGGGAAAATTATAGGTTCAGTTCAAGTCGACTGCAATTGCTACATAATGTAGATTTAATAAAAAATAATAATAAGAAAGTTCGATTCAGCTAGAATTAATGATTATTTTGTGATTCATGAAATGAGTCATTCAGACCGCTTTTCAAACCAAGATAGTTTTTGAAAAAGAATCGACTAGAGCGAGCAAATTTTCTGCAACTCTAAAAAGTCTTTCAGACCACTTTCTTTGAAAATAATCAATTGGAATTAACAATTATTTAATGCGTGTTATTGCTCTTATTATGAACAATTTTTCATGCATGTTTCTTTTTTAATTTTTTTGACCTCATAATTTTCTGTTAAAATTGTCATAACTTCCAATCTTTACATCCACCCCTTTCTTACAATCATCTGTAAGCTCCAGTCAACACTTAATGCACAGAACCAGGTCTGGCCCTACATCTTTTATTTTCCAAAAGATGGCTTTTGTTTAGACTTTTTCTGACTGGTTTTCCTCATCAGACATTAAAATATGCACATAAAAGTTTGTTTGTTTTTTGCAGTTATAAGGTGACGACATAGGGCGTATATGGGGAAGAACATAAATGTTATTCCCCATATATGCCCTATGTCACCTTGTAACTGCAAAAAAACAAACAAAAAAGTAGGACAAGACATTATTTTCTGTGATAAAGAATGTCACTAAAAAATTACCAGCAAATAATGACTTTAAATTTTGACTTTAGTGGACTTGAAATATAATAAAGCTGTATGGACTACTTCTGGGCTAAACAGTAGTTCTGAATGAAAAATCTAGTATTACATCCACCCACGATCTCTGTAACATCAGTGTCCAATCTGATCTGGGTTGGGACACACTATTAAAACGAAATCGAAGGTCATTTTATTAGGCTTTTGTGACCACAAAATAACAAGGGGTAATCATTTTTTGTCGGCACTGCACGGAAAGTCGTGGCTGGCAGTGAGGCGTTTTTCCCAGGGTAAATGATGTGAATTGTTTAGATGGTTCATGCAGGAAGCGTGAGGGTGTGTCTCGCTCAGCAGCTGTGGAGGTCGGGAAGCATTTAACGGTGATGTCATGAGAGGTACGGGCTTCACAGCGCTATGTTTCCTTTTATCTCACCTCGGCGTGCTGTGAGAAAAAGCTCACAGTTCATCCATCAACCTCCAGAGACGCATTAAACGCTGTGACACGATGGCTGAGGGTCTGTTATGTGTTCCTGCCAATATCCAGCAACTTCGCACAGCCATTGAAGAGGAGTGGACCAACATTCCACAGGCCCCA